TGCATCGACGAGGCAATGCACAAAGCTGCTCGTATCGCGGCCGGCCGCCTTAGTGATTCTACCACGGACGAAGAGGAGGATGACGAGGAAGAATTAGACCAAGAAACACCGTCGGCATCCTTTGCGGAACAACCGATCCAAAATGCACTTAATGTCAACCCTGCGTCACTCACTCTCGCTTTGAGAAATATGGAATTAGCCGAGAAGGACAATAGCAGTTGCGCAGCTACCATACAATCTACGCGATCCAGCAGCCCCAGAGAATGCCCTACCCCGAGGTCACACCGAGATGCCTTGAGCTTTCTGAATCAGACGCGTGACTCACGTCGAGACTCGTTGCTAATTGAGAGCGAAGCTGGCGATAGTGACGGTAGTGGAAGATCGGCTTCCGTTGCGTCAAAGCAGCCGCCTCGTACAGACTCCCCTATATCTGAACTCGGTGGTGTACGACGCGGCGCTAGCTCACGTCAACATCAAAGACGAAGTCTGATTCTGACGGGAACCTCTTCGCCGCATCGGCAAGAATCACCGTCAAGGGGCACTCAGCCTTCGTCCCCTTTGCGGATATCAAAACCGCGTAATCTCCAATACTCTCAAGAAGGCGTTGCCTCGCCAGAAGCATCTCCGATGCTTGCACATAGTGATTTCAGCTCTCCGGCCATCGTTCCACACCACCGACGGCAATCATCTGCAGCGTTCCCGAATCTTTCACATCAACCCTCGTCGCCACGTTTGAGTGCTGCCCATCCTCCTCCTCCACTCGCACGGGCCGTACCTCCATCCATAAAAGATTTTGAGATTATTAAGCCGATAAGCAAGGGTGCATTCGGAAGCGTCTATCTCTCCAAGAAAAAGTCAACCGGCGAGTACTTTGCAATCAAGGTTCTGAAGAAGGCGGACATGGTTGCCAAGAATCAGGTAACAAATGTCAAGGCCGAACGAGCTATCATGATGTGGCAAGGCGAAAGCGAATTTGTCGCTAAGCTCTATTGGACATTCTCGAGCAAAGACTACCTGTATCTTGTGATGGAATACCTCAACGGTGGAGATTGCGCCTCTCTCGTTAAGGTGATAGGCGGCTTACCCGAGGATTGGGTAAAGAAATACCTTGGTGAGGTCATCTTAGGTGTCGAACACCTGCATGACCGCGGTATCATCCACCGAGATTTGAAACCTGATAATCTTCTGATTGATCAGAAAGGGCATCTCAAACTGACTGATTTTGGACTTTCTCGCATGGGCCTTATTGGTCGTCAGAAGAGAGCTCTCAACAGTGGTACCTCCGATACTACCCCCGACTTGCTCAAGTCGGGCCCTTTCGCACGATCGACATCCATTGTATCTTCTCGATCAACTTCGCTGGACTTACACGGGACACAAGCCTCGCCTGGCGCCACTCCCCAGACATTGCCCGATAGCAGCCTTGCACAACCATCGTACTTCAGTCTGGCTCACGTTCAACAAGAACCCCGTCGCATTTCTGGTCACCGTAGCGACAGTGGAGGTAGCGAGACCCTCACGCACATGCTAGGCACCTTTTCTCTCAACGATGTACCTTTACCTCAGTCAAGCGTTCGATCTCCATACGACGAGGGAAGCGAAGGCGGTGCCTCTCCTGACCTGCCAACTCTCCACCCAATAAACAGCCAAAGCAGCGATGTACGCCGAAGCACCCCACCCCAGACAAGCATGATGCCACCGCCGATGGCACTCTTCGACCCAGAAGACACTAATCGTAGATTTGTCGGAACTCCCGACTACCTTGCGCCAGAAACAATCAGCGGTGGGAGACAAGATGAAACAAGTGATTGGTGGTCTGTCGGCTGCATCATGTTTGAGTTTCTCTATGGCATTCCCCCATTCCACGCAACTGAGGCTGATCAAGTTTTTGAAAACATTCTGGCTCGCAGGATCACGTGGCCCGACGACGAAGACATGGTTTCGCCTGAAGCCCAGGATTTGATGAACCGTCTATTGTGCATCGATCCGCAACAGAGACTAGGAGCAAATAGGGAAGACAAATATGCTTCGGGTGGTGAGGAAATCAGAAAGCACCCATGGTTTGCTGGAACAAATTGGGATACTTTGCTACAAGATGAAGCGCAATTTATTCCTCAGCCCGAGAATCTCGAGGATACGGAGTACTTTGATGCGCGCGGTGCAACACTTCAATCCTTCACGGAAGAGATGGAAGATCAGATGTCTCCACCGACAGCGTCCACTCCAGACTATCCTGAGAGGCCTCACGACGCCCTTTCTCGACCTCGCTCACAAATTCAAGTGAATCAGATAAAGCGCGGTTTGATGCCGCTACATATACCACCCCATATTAGGGATCTCAAGAGCCGTCGGCTGAGCGAACCTGTGGCTGCAGATGATTTCGGCTCTTTTGCGTTCAAGAACCTGAACGTACTTGAAAAGGCTAACAAGGATGTCATCCAACAACTAAAGGCGCAAGCGATGGCAGCGCAAAACAGGTCTGCTGTCGTCAGTCCCGGGGGTTCTCAAAGCGCAACAACACCTTCCCCTGCCCTCGAAGGCAGTCCAATATCGTCGGCCCCAGTTCAGCGAAGTCTATCCAATGCTAAGGCGTCAGGATCGCAGCGCCCAGCCTCGCCATCCGCTGCAGGTCATGCTAATGCATCGCCCAATCGAGCATCGCAGCCTTCGTCACCACTTCTCGTGTCTTTCCATGCCGGTTCAGCAAACGAAAATCGCCGCAAAGCCTCTAGCAATGCATCAAACCTCTCTCAACAATCGGGCGTAAATACGTTACAGCCGGGAAGCTTCTTTGATCAAGCCAGATCTGTCCCGAGTTTGCAAAAATCATCGAGTGCTGCAGCTGCAATGGCGTCTCCTATGAAGGGAAAAGGAGCAGCGCCACCTCCCCTTGCACTCTCGCCTCAGAAGCTCGTTGCAACCCCGAGACACGCCAGTGGGTCCTCAACGCGTTCTCGATCTCTGACTGTTGGTTCGCAGGACGGTAGTCCAGTGACGTCCGAGCTTCTGGCACACCATCGTAATCGTCGGAGTCAAGTCTTCGATATGTCACCGTCGTCATCAGATAACGAGGGTGACAGAGCGAGTGCACTCCTTAAGGTTCAGCGCCGTCGTCAGTCTTCACGGAGAATGTCAGCAATCATGCTCGAGAGCCCTACTTTTCGATCCCTAGATGTGCTCATATGTGAAGACCATCCTGTTTCGCGGATGGTCATGGAAAAGCTGTTAGAAAAGCTCCGCTGCCGCACTATATCTGCTTGTACTGGTTCGGATGCCGTTCGCTACGCCGTTGGTGAGGTCAAGTTTGATATCATCTTTACCGAATTTAAGCTCCCTGAGATCAGTGGGACTGATGTGGCTCGCATGATTCGAGAAGTGAAGAATGTTAACTCTCAAACACCTATTGTGGCCATCACTGCGTATCTCAAAGAGTTACAAGCTCCACACTACTTCGACTCGCTCATTGAGAAACCAATCAGTTCATCCAAACTGGTTGAGGTCCTCTCAAACCTATGTCAGTGGAAACCGCACTCTCAAGGCCAGCCCCAGCCACTAGCGAGCCCCAACTTCACTTCAGCAATGAAGCCCATCAGTTCTCGTCTCGAGGATAGTCCTACATCGGGGTCGTCCTACGCCAACCCTAGCAGCAGTAGCTTCCGCGGCTCCAGTCGAGAGGACTCCATAAGCTCCAGCCTATTTGGTGATTCCGAATCAGTGGCCACGGATGATGTACCGGTCGTTGTGTCGCGCAAAGCCACTGGAGACTGGGGCGATGATGCTGGACTTGGTATTAGTGCCGACGAGAATTTTTCAAGTTCTATGCGTCACGCACCGGTCAAACTGGTGTCTCAAGAGTCAGCCCCTGCACAAATGGAAGCACACCGCATGCCTCCTCCGGCTCAATCTTTAGAAAAACTGAGGTCCAGACGTGAGCACCTAGAGACTAGACGCCGTCTAGAAGGTAGCGACTCGGCAGATGACGAAGACGAGGAAATGGGTGTTCCTCGTGATCGTGGTCCACGCGCCAAACCACTTCCTCCGAGCTCCAAATTGGGCATAGAAATGATGAGAGCAGACAGCCACGACAGCGTTGCGGTCATGTCCGATACATCACCAGAACCAGTTACTCAGGTTGTAACACCTGCACGAGTCCAAGGCGCGTCACCGCTTCCTAGGACAAAGTCATCAATGGCGACCGTGGCGCACACGCCTCCAGAAACTACCCCGGTGACTGGAAGTGAAGACACGGAACTGACCCCCCGTCCGGCTACTAAACCGGAAGAAAAGAGTCCTTGCGACGATGATACTCCTCGCCCCCAGGTCAAGCACTCCGAAACGGTACTACAGATTCGGTAGGGTATGGCAACGGTCATTTCATAGTAACAGCAAGGCGTTGATGGATGGTATGGGGCATGTCGACAACGCATTTTCCTTTGTATTCAGGTGTACGGAATGGAGTCATGGTTTCATTGTGGAAGAGTCAGTTGCAAAATCACTGCCGGGCCAAGAGGAAATATACAACCATGAGATCCGGTCGGCACACTCGCGAGATTTACTTCTCGTTCTTTTGCTCCATCTTGCGCCCAGCGGACGCTGTGTATCACCACTTACCGGCTCTCCTTCTTGTGGCGTTACGATAAGTAGTGCAGAGGGCGGAACTGTTGTATTGCCAGCAGCGCATGAAATCAAATAGTGGAAGAACCGTTCGCTGCTCATATTCACCGAACCAGATGGAAGGATGTAAATATGTCACGATTAAGATAGCCACAAGGTTCCTCATATACAGGTTCCTCATATACCTTTACAACTTGCCTTCATTCGGTTCACAGAAAGCATCTCCATCATCGCTCAAGGTATCTGTATTTGTCTATTGCAGTCCAGCAACGCCAATTCCGTACGGAGACCAGAGTATCAAAGTGTTCACAAGTCCCGCGGATGATCCGCCGCACACGACTTCTTCATAACAAGACTTACTACATCGCCCTCACAACGAGGAGAAAGGTCGGTTAGCTCAGTTGGTCAGAGCATCGCAATTACATTCATATCGGTCGGGATCATGTCGAGTTACTGCGAAGGCCATAGTTTCAAGCCCTATACTGACCAGACGTTCGTATATTTGGTCCGTCATCATTTGGATGATGAAGTGTCATTTTTTGCACTTGCTGTTTCTTATCTAAATATGTGTATATATCTAAGTTAAGGCAGTGAGGCCATCCTATGGAAGGGGAAGAGACCGGGATAGGGTGCTGAGTAGGTATTTAGATATATAGTTGGATAAACAGTATCAGACTTGGTTTCCCATAGTCCGATTTTAGTCGAACATTATGTATGTCGTCTGCCATCTCGGTTCTCGCTGTTTGTTCGTCATGGGTTGTCGTTCAAGAATCGTCGTGATGGAAGCACTAGAGGCAGGTTTACAGCAACACGTTCTTGGCAGGAGTAACGGATTATGAACTACTTTAGGAAAAGATTGATAATTCCGTCGTGTAGTAGCTGTTTACTTGGAATAATCAGCGGATGCAATTCGACATCCTCTACACCGTAGCAGAGGGCAAGGTGTGTATGTGTGTGTGTGTGTGTTGGCGTTATGTTTCTGCATTCGAAAACCATTTAGAAAAAAGGATCCAGATCTTTATTCCATTCCCTATACATGGGTGTTTGGAGCAGCCTTTACCGTTGGTCCACTCTGCACTTTCCCGAGATATTGATATAATACTACATCCAACATCACTTTTTGAAGGGCGTCATGTTGTATATAGGTCGAATGTATCTTCTGTGGGAATACTCAAAGATCGGATGACTGGACTGAGTGTGTAGTTCGTTCAGTCCTCAGCTTACGCTTCAAATGCTCGATTAGGCTAGAGAATTTACTGATATCTCTGGACACAGGGCTCGGATGTGTTATTGTTTCTTTTCCATGGTTTGGTCATTATCCTATCGGATCGAAAAATCTTCCACAGACTTGCGCTTCCACTCACACGAGCAGAGTGAACATAACCATCCGTTGCTTGAAAAAGCACTTCCTATACCTAGGGTATTCAATCCATCCACATCACATCGAAGCATTCCAACATTAGTCTGCATCACCAAAACCCAAACTCCCAAACCATAACTCCTATCCCAGTGCTAGCATCTCCTCCTATCTTGGTAGGACCCTATAACCCGAGACTGTTCGCATCTCGTAGTGGACAAAAGAAAACAGAGGAAGTTTCCTCGTGAGCTATCCTTATAGCCAGGATATAAATTCGTGATATGCGTCCTCGCGTTCCCAAGTACTCCCTGCGCATATCTCGTTCATCGTATCAATCGTCATATTCTTCCTTTCCGGATGTCGGATGACCAAAACATAGACCTTTACGAAGGTGATAGCACACCATCGGTGTGTAATGCCAAAGATCGTTCGAAGCCCAAGTAAAGTCGAGTTAACCTGCCGTCATAAGCCGACGAGCCGACTTTGCCCAGTGCCAATACCAATACTAAAATTAGGCGACACCATGTGCTCAATGATCCAATGAAAGTGGCGGCGAGTACGTCGTGTCGCATCCCCTTTCTCATAACAGTGTCGAGCGTCACCCTCAGCCTCAGTATTGTGTACTGAAGTCGTCAAGCCGATCAAGCCGCGACAACACTCCTCCCCATCCCACTCCCGAAGCGAAATCTCCTCAAAGATCCACCACCGCTCCTTATGACTTCCCCACCACAACTCGTATTCCCACTTGCGAGCCCACTCAGCGTTTCCTGGCGGCCCGCCTCGCGCCCGATCACGTAGCCTGCTCCAAAGCCAACAACCGAGACGAGAACAACTACACCGGCGCTGAACACCCATGTCATGAGCGTCGGGCTGATGAAGGCATCCTCACTGGCAGTAGCCGTTCTCTTCTTCTTTGTAGCGCGTGGAGATTTGGAGCCCGACGTTGGTGTTGCTGAGCGTTTGATTTTCTCGCCGGCTGCAGCTTGAGGTGCGGACGATGACGATGAAGTCCCGGTCTTAGTAGAGCCCCTTGATAAGGCCGGAGCTGCCGGTGTTGCCTGAGTAGGCGATGGGGCCATCAACTCACGCTCAGGAACAAGACGGAGTTCGACAGGTTGACCGCCGCGGGCCGGCGCGGTGCGATCTTCCACCTTCTCCTTGTCGCCATCTCTAGGCCGACTTCTTGCAGCCGCGGCACAGCTGAGTAGAGTAGTCAGACTGGCGCGCAATGCAGCGTCGTTGTCAGCCTGGTAGTTGGGCGACATCAAGTTCGGGCTGTGAGGGTCGACGCGCGTGTGCGACCGTCGGCTGAAAGAAGGTCGACGGTGAGGGATGGCAGAACTGGTTGAGTGACGGTGTTGTAGGTGAGATGGCGGATGTGAAAATACATTTGGCTGTGGACGGAATGGTTCAGAGGGTCGACGTCCAAGAGCCGTAGCGTTCTCGTCGTCGTCCTCATCACTCGAGTTGTCCATGGCGACTTGCGCAGAGAAGACTTGGCGTAAGGGTGTCTGATTTGACTGGCCCGAAACTAGATTCTCGGTGGAACTATTTAAAAGATGATCTTCTTCGCTTTCACTCTCTTCGTATTCGTCCTGACTGCTGGCGTTGGCGGCGGCGGTGGCCTGGTTGGTAGTGACATTCTGGGGGTAGGAATGCGGATGTAAGCGACGCCGGCGCGGCCGGTAGGACGAGCCAACATTGAGGCCAGTGGTGACGATGTCATCGCCTATGGAAGATACGGACGAAGACGAGGGCTGCGAGGAGACCTCGACCCACGACTCCGTCGAAGGGGTGAAAGATTGCGTATCGTGGTTTGACCGCGACGACTGAGCATCATTCCGTTGTCGCTGTTGGACGGTGGATCGGCTGCCGGGGTGGCCCCCAGGACGCTGGGTTGTAGCCATCGGGGGCATACTGGTATTTGGTGTTGATGTTCGTAGTCAAAAAGACAGAGAGAAACAGGATAGAAAGCGGACAAGCTGAGCGAGTCTGGCAAGCACACAACTGAGGCCGGGGAAGAGGCCAAAGAAGACGCAGCCAGAGACACAGAGGTTGGTTGGTTGGTTGACTGGTTGTCGAAGCAGGCAGTTGAAGGTTAATGGTGCAGGTGGGTTGGGCCGGGCTCTCACCGCTGCCCCGCGCCTCTACTGGCTGTGGGCGATGATGAGCGGCAGCCAGACACGTATCAATCGACTCGCAGCGACTTGGCAGCCGGTCCACACAAAGTGTCGCGCGATGCAGGGCGTTGATTTGCCTGTCATGCGAGGGAGAGAGATGATACGAGACTCGACGGAAATCAGTGAAATCAGTGGGACAAGAATGATCAGTTGTGTATGGTCATACTCTACTACCCCGTTTTCTCTGCTCAACAGCGATGGAAGAGACAAAGACCGGGTCACGAGGGGCATTATTCACCTGCCTAGAGGTTGCCATCTGGCTGCCCACTCTCTGCACACCTAGAGTGTGAGGGCTGTGGCTGGGGGGGTTCGCCGGCTCGAGGGGGACTGATGACCCCCCCAAACCACCCCGCCCGGTGACCCCTAGATATTCCATCTTCTAATCATGGATGTTAGAATGATCTAATCTTTTGGGCACCTCTGCTCGATACCCTACATGCATGTACCTCTCACGCCATGTCGGTCAGTCTGGTCGGTGTGGTGCACACTGCCTGAGATACCTGCCCAAAAGGTATGTTGCTACCAAAATAACCGACGTTTTCGGTCTGGCGCAATGGCCTTGCCCGCTGATAACGCCGATTCCGTACTCGAATTCTGGGTTGTGCTACGGCGGCGTATTGTAATGTAAGGTACCAGCTGTCCCTGTTCCTCGACAGAGAACCCCGAGTCCCGTCCAGCCCTTTGTCTGAAATCCATGATGTCCATCAGTGTTGATATAGACGTAATTTACACTCTACCGTGAAACCTGTAAAATCCAAAACTTTAAATGCTTTTGCAAATACTAGTACCGTTTCCCAAACGCTACAACATAGTTCTCTCTCGGCCGACACATTGAATTGCGTCGCAACAGACTGCCGCCCCACGAGAAGCCATCTCGACCAGCTGACCTTAGTTACTGTTGACGTCAGCAATTTGGGTGTTGTTACCCTAGTCTCGAGTCCTGCGGCTGCAAATTGAAGAAATGCGCTTCCCATGCAGTCTCTCTCCCATGCATTAATCCGGCTCATTTCGCTACTGAACCTCCCGCCATGGTTTTTATAGACCAGCTATACGAGGGACAGGAACAAAACCACAAACGCAGAAGCTGTCGACGCCCAGCCTAGGCCCACAAGATTCGTAGACGCCGCACCCGGTGTGCTCGTCGGACTCGGTGTACCAGTCGTTGTCGTTGTTGTTGTTGGTGACTCGGTCTGTGACGCGCTTGAGGTTTGAGATGCAGTAGGAGCTGTCGTCGCAGCAGCACAAGCACTTGTCAGAGCCTTCGTCACTGACACAGGTTCGCCATCGGAATTGACGTCGTTTCTGCACAACCCCGTTGAGTTGTGCACTTTGAAGCTGATGCTCGCACGCTCGAAATCTAGCGACGGGAGTTTTGTGCCAGCAATATCGCTCGACGCATTCTGCCACAGCGTCGATAGCTTTGTCTTGGGGTCCCCGCCGTTGGTTATGTATTTGAGGACCTCTGGTGTTTGTTTCCAGACTTGTATCGTAGCCTCGTGCATCTCGTTTGTTTGGAATGATGAACTGTTGAAGTATGTGAGATCGACGGTGAGCAATCCATCCGGGCCTGCGCTCTGATTCGCTTTGACCCAGGGAAATATATAGGCCTCTGGTACTGTGTCTCTCGTGCTCATTGTCGAGACCTTTGTGATTTCTAAAAATGAAATGTATAAGTCGTCCAATGCGTCTTTGGACGGCTTGGTCAGTGTGATTATGGGCTGCTCCAGAGCAGCGACTGATGCTTTGACTGCATCTTTGGGTGGGTTGGATGTTGTGAATTTGGGTCCGTGGTTATCGAGGTAAGTGATGTAGGATACTTCGAAGTTGAAGTCGTCACCCTTGAGAGAGTCGGCCACCACCGTGCTGATTCCAACAAGGGCAATGGGAAGAAAGTAGTGTGATGCCAGCATCGTGGGTATCGTTGTTCTAAGTTTGATGTTCGAGATCCGGTG